TGGAATAGTTGTAACTATCAAAAAGAAACTGATAGGGGCTGGAGTGATAGTACAGCGGGTAGGGCGTTTGCCTTCTATGCGGCCGACCCAGGTTCGATTCTCAGCATCCTATATGGTCCCCTGAGCACTACCAGGAGTAATTCCTCAGTTCAGAGCCAGAAGTAATCCCTGTGCATCACTGGGTTTGACCCATAAAGGACAAAAAAAAGAAACTGATAAATAAAAAAGAAAGACTTCATATGTCATGGATAAGAAGACTTACTGGCATTATAATTTGGGGGTGTCTGTCAAGGACAGAATCTGGCATGTACTCTACCACTACACCATATCTATCTGCAGCCCAAGACTTAATATTATTTTTGGTGTGTATGTGTGTGTGTGTGTGTGTGTGTGTGTGTGTGTGAGTGAGTGTGTGTGTGCCTTAGGTCACACCTGGCAATGCTCACATCTCCCTGCTCTCAGCAATTAGATGGCAACAGACACCAAAATGACATAGAGTTTAGTGTGTTCCCCAGCCAAAAACCCTTAGTTGGCTTCCTTGCAGAAACTGATACTAAAACTCACTTCTTCTTGGAAATTCCAAGAACCCATGGATCCAGAACAATCTTGAAAGGAGAGCTGGAGAGCTACCAGTTTTTTGGCTTGGGAAGCTGGCCAGCACACTGCCATGGCTCTAGGGTACGGGCAGTCCTCAGGGCTGACAGAACTAAAGTGAGTACCTCGGGGAAACTTTTGCACTTCCAGGCCACTGACCTTTATCAAAATTAAAAATCACGGGGCCTTGCCAAAGGGGCCTGGAAGGGCTCAGGGAACTGGCAAATGGTGAGGAACACACTAATGCCAGATTCTCAGCAACGCTTTCTTCAGTCCTGCCTGCCCACAAAAACAGCCTCTCACCTTAAAAAACAAAATCAGGGCCAAGAAATAGTATAGCAGATAGGGTACTTGCTTTGCAGATGGATGACCTGGGTTTGATTTCCAGTGTCTCATGTGGTTCCCTGAGCACCAGCAGGAGTAATTCCTGAATGCAGAGCCAGGAGTAACCCCTGAGGAACCCCTGAGGTGGGTGTGGCCCCAAAACTTGCAAACAAAAATAAAAGCCAATACCAGGTAGGGCGCTTGCCTTGCGTCCCATTTGCCCCCCTGAGCACCACCAGGACCTAATTCCTGAGTGCATAGCTGGGCAAACAAGCAAAAGCCAAAAGCAGAGAGCAGAGTGATAGTATAGTGGGTAGAGCGCTTGCCTTGCAAGTGGTTGACTGGGCTTCCCATACGGTCCCCCAAGCCTGCCAGGGAGGTCCCTGGAGCGCAGACTCAGGGGTAAGACCCAAGCACACCTGTGACCCCCAAATAAACAAACTAAAGCCAAAAGCAGCACCACAGGGACAGTACAGGGGTTACAGCTCTTGCCTTGCCATGGCTGACCCCTTAAAATCCCCTCAGCCCCACAGAATCAGGAGTAAACCCTGAGTCCTTGCTGCATCCCTGAGTTGGGGATGAAGGACAACAGGTGGGTGGTGCCCCCCTCCCCGTGCTTCAGGACATCAGGTGGGCGATGCTCCCTCCCCCCACAGCAGGAATGAGCCTGTTAAGCATCAGTATGTCCATCTCATGCTGCCGGCCACCCTGTTCAGAGTGACCACATCTGAATCTCCACAAGCGCCATCCTTTAAGGTAAGTTCCTCAGGGCCTGTCCAGTCGCCCAGGACTGTCTGTCCCTGAGCCCAATGTCCCTGGGATGCTGGGCAGCTTTTTACATATGATCCTGAGTGCCCCGCCTGGTGTGACCCCCGCAAACTAAAACCAAAGCAAAATGTATATGAAAGGAGAGAAAAGAGGCTGAACGTGAGGAGCTGCACAGGGTCTGAGGAGGGGCTCAGCGCAGGGCTGTTCCATGCCAGTGCTCTGGAAGGCTGGTTTGGTTTATTTTGGGGGGCCACAGCCAACTGGGCTCAGGGATTACTCTAGGCTCTGCACTCAGAGACACTCCTGGCAGGACTTCGGGGACCAAAGGTGGTGTCAGGAATGGAAACTGGGATGGCAGGGTGGAAGGCAAGTGCCCAATCTGCAGTACTGTCACTCCAGCAGAATATCCTTTGTTTTGGGAGCTGCCCCATGTCTGCATTGTAGGATGCTGAGAAGCTATACCCACTGGATTCCAGGGAACCTCCCCTAGTTGTGACAACCCCGAAAATCTGCAGATGCTGCTTGACGTTCCAGGACACGTTACCACTGAGGGTCACTGCTTTGAGGATCTTGTAAAGTGGACTTCAGTTCCCTCAAGCTTTTGTTCCTCGCCTTCCAGTTCCTGGGTTCATCGCAACTGTGATTAAGAGTCTCGGTCTTGATTTGCTGGACACGTCATGAAAATCACATGAGTGTGCTCTCCATACAGGCGTCCTGTCCCCCCCACCCCTCCCCCCCCAGCCCGCACGGGAAAGGAGCATGCGCATCTCTGTCCCTACACGCGAGCGGATTCGGATTCTTGCCGGCGCCCAAGCCACTTTCTGAATCTTTCCAGCCCTAGGCTGAGGCTTCCCCTAATTTGAACCATCTGGCCTCTCTTCAGCTTCAGCCTGCAGGGACTTGGCACTAAATCTCGCCCCCCCTATCCCCACCCACTACTGCTGCCCTCCTATCCGGTTTCCTACAACCCCTTGTTCAGCCACTCCTCTCCTGCCAGTTAAATCCCCTCCAACACAGATCCAACAACTGTGACAAGGTGACAGGCTGGAGATGCAGGGGTGGGGGTGGGGGATGGAGGGCCTGGTGGAAGGAAGAAGACAGTGGTGGCAGGATTGGTGCTGGGACATAGTACATCTAAAACCTAACTAAGAATACTTTACACATGATGGGGATTTTTTTTTTTTTTGCTTTTTGAGTCACACCCAGTCATGCACAGGTGTTACTCCTGGTTGATGCATTCAGGAATTACTCTTGGTGGTGCTGAGGGGACCATATGGGATGCTGGGAATTGAACCTAGATTGGTTGAGTGCAAGGCAAATGCCCTACCCACTGTGCTATTTCTCCAGCCCATCATGGGGCTTTAAATTAAAAAAATTAAATCCCTCCCAGACCCCTGTGAGTTCAAGCGTGAGTACAGTCAGCATCTAAAAGCTGCCTCCCCAGGCCAGATGACGGGGACAGCTGAACGAAGGAAGGGGATCACAGGCTGGTTGGTAATCAGTGACCATTTATTCCAGTCTCACGGCGTTATAGAGAAATCGTGAAGTGTGGGGGTACACATAGGTGTGGCTGGACATCATCCTAACAATAAACAGATATAAAGCCCTTTCTTAGAAGTTCTTCTAGGAGATTAACTCAAGGACAAAATCTCAACTGGGGTTTCAGCACTCTAGGTTACTAGAAGATCCATTCAAGGGCAGGATTCTATCTAAGGGCATATTGCATTCTCCTTTCCTTAGCTAGTAATGCATTTATTTCTAGTCATTTTGTATGAACACAGTAAGAGATATATTAAGCTTAAAGAGTAACTCCTCCTGGGGACCTCTCACTATATATCTCAGACTACAGTCCTCAGGCCAGGTTAGTCTTTCCTAACCCAGCAGGGTCCTTATTCAGTTACTTCTTTTTGGGTCATGACAGAGTTTGTTTCATGACCGTGCTCTTAACTTATTATACTTCTTATGGCACTTAGCTGGTCCCTTTTTGATTCTAGGGTAGCTTATGGCTTGCCCTGGGTCCATCCAAGTCCCTCGGCAGGACTCTCTTTTGGGGGATGTTAGGAGGTCAGGGCAACTGAGGTTTAAGTCAAGTAAATATGATGCATACCCAGGAGTAAATATTATTCAAATCAATTAGCGCCCATTACAAAAGCATGGTATCAACTGTCTTCCTATGTCTAAACAAAAAGAACATTGCTAAACCATGCAAAGGACATAAAGGAAAGAGAAAAGCAATGTAGGCTTAGGAGTGCCTAATGAAAATGGGTATGCCTTGGGAGCACTGTGATGGGTGCAACTCAATAAACCTAGGCTCCCTGTGGGAGGGGCAAGGACAAACCAATGTTATCCAATAAGACTCAGCTCAAAAAGTGGCCCCCAAGGAGGAATTGATATCTCATTTACTTGGTAGTTTCCCTTTTATTCCAGCGGAGTGAAGAAGTTTGGGCCACACCCAGTAGTTCTGGGGTTGGGGGTCGGGTGGTGCTATTTCTGACTCAGCTGGTCATGGTCACTCCAGGGACCATTCAGTGCCCAGGACTGAGCCTGGTCAGCTGCGTGCAAACCTCTGTCTGTACTGTGTCTCTGGCCCTAGAGTTGACCCAGAGCACATGGCATGATACCTGAAATCAGTTTCATTTCTTAAATATTTGGGTCACCTGAACACCTGGTGGTGCTCAGGCTCAGCGCTGGGGGTGGGGGGGTTCACCCCTTGCTTTGTTCAGGTATCCTATGCGGTGCCAAGGAGCAAAACAGGTGCTCCAGCCCAATGAGATCCCTTAAAATTAGTCTTTGTTTGAGCCCATATCTCCTTCTCCACCCCTCTCCTCCGTGAGCTCCTGAGGACAGGGCTAAGGGCTTTATGCTTGCCCTCACAACCCCCATCAATGTCCTTTGGGAGTCTGGCTGCCTGGCGTTTTCTGCGGATTTGCTCAGAACAGAAACAGCACACATTTCCCACATGCCAAAGCGGTGAACACAAACGCTCTTGCGCACGCCCTCAAGGGGCAGCCCCCTGGGCTCCAGTGTGCCCGCGGAAGGGCTGTCCCGTTCTGGTAAACTCTAGCAGGTGCACGCAGGAGTGGGGGCTGGCAGCAAGGAACACGGACCCGGGCAGAGCTGGCCAGGCTGTCTGTCACATGATTCTCCAATCACATGATCCTTAGAACCGGGGCGTAGAAGACGGGAGGGAGGAGATTGAACCGAGTAGGAAAGAAGTAATGCTTCCACGATGGCCCCGCCCCCATGTCTACCGGTAGCCTATGGGAACGCGACGTCCCGGACATCTGGCCAATGGGAACCGAGGTGGGCGGGCCACGGGGCTGCGAGGCCCCAGTCTGGGAGCAGCCGGGCTGCTGCTGGTCAGCGAACTTGGACCCCGGCGAAGGTAAGCGGCGTCCACGCCAGCTCCTCGCTCGCTGCTTCCCGGAGCCGTAAACCTGGGGGATGGGGGGAGGCTGAAGGTTCCTTTGCAGTCTCGACCGGGAGCTAAGACTCGCTTAGGGCAACTCCTTTGGGGGTTTCTGCTGCCCTGGACGGAGGCAGAGGCGGTGGGGGTGAGCGGAGGGCGCAGTCGCCCGCACTGGAAGGGGCTCTGCCTCCGGCACCCCTGGAACTTGTAATCAGTGCCCCCCCCGCCCCGCGCCGCGGAGTTCTTGGGTCGGTTCCGCCCCCCCGCACGTCCCCATCTGGGCACTGGCAGCTGAGGAGGTGCCGGGAGGACCCGGCCGGCCGGGAGCGGAGGAGCACGGGGAGTGGGCTGCAGCCTGGGATCCCCCGAGAGCTGGCGGGGACCCGGGGGGTGCGGATTGCACCCCTGCTGCCCCAAGCCCTGCCTTACTTCCTCTTGCGGGAGGTGGGCCCAGCCAACTTCCGCTGAGCCCCGCCACTTTTTCCTCTTCGCTCTCTGCAGCCGGACTCACCTTTGGGTGAGTCCCAAATCCCCTTCCCCTCTGGCGTTCGGAGTTGAGGGTTACCACCTAGTGGGAGAGGGCGGAGGGGGGCTCGGAGAGACGCCCACTTCCCTGTCTGCTGGGGCAGTGAAGGCGGGGTGGGACTGGGAGCGTGCTCTGAACCCGACAGAGAGGAATTGGGCTCTCCCCACCCCACCCCACCCCCGCTGCCCGCGCGTCGCTTTCGGTGACCGCGCGGAGCACTTTCGGTGGCGCATCTTTCAGTGGCCGTGTTTGCATTTCCCTAATGGGGATGCCGGGAAGGGAAGTCGTGTTTCATAAATGACTAGCGGAGCGGCCGGCGAGCTGCCCCGCGGCCCGTGGCAGGTAGCCGGTCGGCCCGAAGGAGTCGAGGCTGGATCCGGATGAAGGCGGGGTGGGCGCTGTGCACGCCGGCTGGACTCAGGAGACACTCCCCCGCCCTGGGGCCAGAGGCGGGGCGCGGCTCTTGAGACTCACGGTCAGGGGGTGCAGAGGTGTGACCCCAGTATAGTAGCAGTGTTTCCCAAAGTGGGGATACTGCCCCCTGAGGGATGCTGGAATGATGGGAGACTGCAATAGCCTGGGGTGCAGCTGGGGGGCGCTGTTTGTTCTTTTAAAGATCAAGGTGGATTTCCCCGCGTAGGGGGGAGGACACAGAGTTAATTTATTTTTCTGAAAGCCCAGTAAGCTTGGGAGCCTCTGTTCTACTTAAACACCAGGCTTCTGTCCTCCTGGGCTGGGATGGCCGCCACTGGGGAAGGGAAAGGGTCTTATGCCTCAGGGGCCGTCAGATGGTCACTTCCAGGATTCGCTGTGTGACAGGGACCTGTGACTGACGTCCCTGAGCCTCAGATTCCTCCTCTGAAAAGATCAGGTAATAGTCACGCGCTCAAAAGAAGCAAGAAGACAGTGGCAGGGATAGTAGTAGGTTCACTGTTCCAAGATGCCCGGCTGTAGGCTATGTTGTCTTCTCGAGGTGGTGAAGATGAAGTGAGAGGCTGCCCCCCGCCCATGAGGGTGCCCCCACTCACAGATTGGCCTCCGGTGGTGGCATGGGTCTCTTCCCACGGTCGAGCTTCGCTCCACGGTTGGGGGGTGTGCCTTGAGCATCTGAAGATCTGTCGGGGCCCCTATGTACACAGGTGTCCCAGCAGTGGTCCCTGAAGAAGGTCTACTGGTAACACTTCCTCCTTTTATCACTTTCTCAACCCTGTGGTTTCTTGGGCTACCGTGTGACCTCTCAGCGGGGAGCAGGTGTGAATCCCTGAGGCTGAGGCTGTCTGTGGAGGGGCTGACTGGGCAAGTGGAGCCCCTTCTTCAAAGGGGTGAAGGTCTCCCTTCTTATTCCTCAGCCCTGTCTGCCAAGACTGCTTGATGCCCTGGTTCCCCAATGGTGGCCACAAAACCCACAAGTATTTCTGATTTACACACACTTTCATTTCGACACTCACCCCAGAGGCAGGCAGGGTGTGGGGCCAGGGGCTGGGGCTGAGATTGGCAAAGGGACCCCGTATCTGTGCTCCCTTTGCGTGTGGCACAGGATGCATGGAGGGGAACTGCCTCTCGGCCCCCCTGGGTACAGAGTTGGGGACCCCCTCATGGGGCGGGGGATGATGGTAGTGACTGGGCCCTGGGCTCCGTGGTTCGGCCAGGAACTAGTGGCCCAGGGCCTCTTGGGATTTTGCAGGTGGACTATGTGGACCCTGGTGAGCTGGGTGGCCTTTGTGGCGGGGCTGGTTACCGCTACACAGTGCCCAGATGGGCAGCACTGCCCTGTGGCCTGCTGCCAGGAACCAGGAGATACCCACTATAGCTGCTGTAACCCACTTCCGGTGAGTGACCGTCACCCGGCCAGGGCTGGGTGCCTGGGGCACCCCAGGGGGGTGGTCTTCTGGGCCCCCTCTTCTCAGGCCTCCTTCTTTCCCCAGGACACAGGGCCCCTGACACTGAGCCGGAATCTGGACATACCATGTGGGGACAGTGGCCACTGCGCTGCCGGCTCCTCCTGCGTCCTCACCGTTTCAGGGACCTCCAGGTGCTGCCCATTCCCAGAGGTGAGGTGCCCATGAGCTTGGCGGGGGTTCACGCTGCATCTTCATGTCTCCTGCACGCCCCCCCCCCCACCCCCCGCCAGACAAAGGGCCTCCTGACACAGGCCTCTCTCTCTTCCAGGCTGTGGCCTGCCCGAACAGCCAGCATTGCTGCCCCCGGGGTTTCCGCTGTAGCGCCAACGGGCTCTCATGCTTCCGGACACCAGGTGTGCTAGGGATGCCTCAGCGGTGGACACCCCTCCCCCATCCTCCCTGGGCCTTACTCCTGCGGCATCTGTCCTAAGCAGTCTCCCGCCTCCAACTGGAGGGGAGGCGGGCAGGAGAGAAGCAGTCACCTCAGGACCCCGGATGTGGGAAGGGCAGGGGGACTCCAAGCTGGAGAACTGGGCAGACACTGGCTGGTGGGGAAAGCAGGTTGGGGTGCCCGAGCCAACCCCGCAACCTCGCAGGAGCCCCAGGGCCTGCAGCTCCTGGAGTGAACGTGGCTTGGCCATGGAGGGCTGATGGGATCCCGGGGCCTGTCTGCAGGTTCCAGCCTTCTGGGCGCCATCCAGTGCCCCGACAGCCATGTCGAGTGCCCCGACTCTTCCACATGCTGCCCTATGGCGGACGGCTCCTGGGGGTGCTGCCCCATGCCCCAGGTAGGGGTGTGGGGAGCAGAGGGTGTGTGGGGGGAGCACAGGGGCAGAGTGAGGGACTGAGCGAGCCCTCTCCTAGGCCCTGTGCTGTGAGGACAAGGTGCACTGCTGCCCCCAGGGCACTACCTGTGACCTGGCTCACGGCCGCTGCCTGTCGCACACGGGCCCCCAGCTCCTGGCGGTGAAGGTCCCCGCCCGGAAGGTTGACAGGGCAGGTGAGGCAGTGGGGGAGCCTGGGCTCAGGGAAGGGAGTGGGGAGAGGGCTTGCCTGCCTCCCATGCCCCTGGGTCTGCCCTCACCCCTCTCGAACCTTCTAGGAATCACTTGCCCGGACGGTCGGTCTGTATGTCCTGATGATACTACGTGCTGTCAGCTGCCTAACGGGACATATGGCTGCTGCCCGATGCCCAACGTGAGTGAAGGACCAGAGTGGGTAGCCCAAGGGTACTGGCCTGGACACTCCCAGTTGCTGGCACTGCCAGGTGGGACAGACCTGCTGGTGGCCCTGGGGCCTGGCTGCTCGGGACTCATGCTGCCCCCTAGTGGTCGGCAAGGGCAGTGCCAGCCAAAAGGCACCAAGTCCCCTCCCTGCCCTCCCAGGCCATTTGCTGCTCTGACCACGTGCACTGCTGTCCCGAGAATACCACCTGCGACCTGGCCCACAGCAAGTGCTTCTCTGGGGACAAGGCCACAGACCTGCTCGCCAAGCTCCCTGCACACACGGGTACGGCAGAGGCACTGGGGCTGACACCCCCCCCCACACACACACACACACACTGGGCCCCAGGGCCTCAGCCAGGGTGGCATCAGTAGATCCCTCCACCCTCAGCGTCCACTGCCAGCCCTAAGCCCCAGCCCCGCTGACTGTCTTTCCTGCCTGCCCTGTCTGTCAGTGCGGGATGTGAAGTGTGACACAGAGGTCAGCTGCCCGGAAGGCTCAACCTGCTGCCGCATCCAGACAGGGGCCTGGGGCTGTTGTCCCTTCATCCAGGTACCCAGGAGGGGGGGGAACCTGGCCTGCCTGGAGGGGGTGGCTGGCTCGGCCCCAGGCCCACCGTGCCCTCCCTCTAGGCCGTGTGTTGTGAGGACCTGGTGCACTGCTGCCCCAACGGCTACCGGTGTGACACTAAGAAGGGGACGTGTGAGCAGGGCGTCCATCAGGTGCCCTGGATGGAGAAGGTGCCAGCCCGTCCCAGCCCGCCCAGCCCCCGCGTCACTGAGGGCAATGTTCCCTGTGACAACTTCACCAGCTGCCCCGAGGCCACGACGTGCTGCCGGCTGCCGTGGGGGGGCTGGGGCTGCTGTCCCGTCCCAGAGGTGTGTGGAACCCCTTTGGTCAGGCACAGTGCGGGAGGGGGGCCATGAGGGGTGGCCCTACCCCTGAGCTCGGGACCCCCTTTCTCTGTGTCCTGCAGGCTGTCTGCTGTGCTGATGGCCAGCACTGCTGCCCCAAGGGCTATCAGTGCACAGATGAGGGCCAGTGCAAGAAGGACCACAGGGTGGTGGCCGGCCTGCAGAAGACACCCGCGCACAGCAACACCAGCTGTGACCAGCACACCAGCTGCCCCGAGGGCCAGACCTGCTGCCCCAGCCTCCGGGGGGGCTGGGCGTGCTGCCAGTTGCCACATGTGAGTGCCCACCTGCCCAGGGGAGCGGGGTGGGGGTGGGGGCAGCGTATCAGCGCCCCTGTGCCCCCCAGGCCGTGTGCTGTGAGGACCGCCAGCACTGCTGCCCCACGGGCTACACCTGCAACGTGAAGGCCCGCACCTGCGAGAAGCAGGTGGCTCCGGCAGCCCCCACCAAACGCTTGGCCCTCGGCCCTCCAGTGGCGGTGGGGAACGTGGCCTGCGGCGATGGACGCTTCTGCAAAGATGAGCAGACCTGCTGCAAGGCCCGAGGTGGGGGCTGGGCCTGCTGCCCCTACCCCCAGGTCAGTGTCACCACACACCAAAGGCAGGGGGTCAGGCAGAGCCGGCCGCCATGCCACTCACCTCCTCTCTCCTCCGCAGGGCACCTGCTGCCCAGATCAGCGCCACTGCTGTCCCTCTGGCTTCCGCTGCTCGGCCCGGGGGGCCAAGTGTACCAGCAGGGAGACCCCACGCTGGGACAGCCCTTGGAGGACTGACGCTCCCAGGCAGCTGCTATGAGGGGCCACACCGGAGACACTGTCACCCGCAGCCTTGCCCAGGGGGTGCCCACTGCTCAGGCCTCCCCAGCACCCTCCTGACTCTCCTGGACCCTCCCCTGCGGAGCCCCCTAGCCCCATGGGCCCCTGAGGCCTCCACGGGAGGCCTCCCAGCCCAGACCTCAGTGGAACCTCCTGCAGCGCTGGCCAGGTGCTCTTCAGGGGCACGTGTGTGCCCAGTAAAGTTTGTACACTTTCCTAAGGGCTCTCGTTGGCTACCTTGCTTCCGCTTCTTGGGGAGCTCCCCCATCCACCCCCACCCAGAAAGACACACAGAGCCAGCTCATCGCCAGTCATATATTCGCTGGGTCAGTCCCATCACGTTCCCCCCATCCCCAGAGCGGCCCCAGCCACCAGCCTGGAGCATCTCAGCTCAGAGGAGACTCAGCAAGCAGCACCCCTCCCCTCCCAGGGGGCCCCAGAACGCCCCTCCCTCCCAGCCCTCACACTAGCAGCTGAGGCCGGGCTGTCCCCTCCAGCTCCCCCACAATAAGAGCGTTCTATGTACAGCCGTGCTGGCGCGGGCACGCGCCCCCCACCCTGCCCTCCTCCCGCACCTCCCAACGGGGGCCTGCACCCCCCCACCTCCCTCACGGAGGCAGACGCGGGGTCCCTCCCAAAACATCACCCAGCACATACCGCGGGGCCCTGGGTAGCTCTGCAGGGGCGGGGAGGGGGCGAAGACTGGGTCACGGGCCGGTGCACCGCGGGGCAGCCACGGCGCTACTTGACGTTGAACACCATCAGCGGCCGCTCCTCCCGCCGCTGCCACGGGCTCTTCTTGTCGCCTGCGTCGTCGCCCACCTCCACCCCCAGCTCGTCCTCGGGGCTGGTGAGCGAGTCGCGCCGCAGCTCGCTGGCGCTGCTGCGGGAACTGTCCCCGCGGCTGCGGCCCCGGCCCCGGGGCACCGTGGCCGCCCGGCCCTCGGGCGCCGCCACCTCGTCCAGCAGCGGGGTCAGCGAGTTGTCCTCGGGGGAGCAGAGGCCCGTGCGGCTCTCGCTGCTGCTCGGCTCCGTGTCCTCGCTGAGCGCCAGGCGCGGCGGCGCGGGCGGCGGCGGGGGCGGCGGGGGCGGCGCGGCCGCGGGGCCCCGCTCGCGCTCCTCCCGCAGCGGGCGCCGGCGGGCCGGCCGCGCCTCGTGCACGTCGACGCCCGAGTCCAGGCTGGCGTCGGTGCTGCGGCCGCCGCCGCCCGCCTGCAGGTCGATGTAGGAGTGGCGCACCTGCGAGTTGGAGCGCCCGTCGAGCGACACGAACCAGGCGCGCGGGTGCGGCTTCACGCCCAGTTCCAGCAGCTTCTTCTCGGTCAGCGCCTGCAGCTCCCCGTTGAGCTGCGCCATGGTGGACTCGTTGAACAGCACGGGGATGGTGACCGAGCCGCTGACCGGCGCCGAGCGCCCGCCGGCCCAGCCCTCGCCGCCGCCGCCGCCGCCGCCCCCGCCGGCGCCGTCGCCCCCCCGCGCCCGCGTGGCCGGGCATCAGCGGGCGCTGGGCGTCGGGCGCGGGGAAGGGGCGCGCGGCGCCCGGGGCCGCGCCCTCGGCCGGGGCCGCCTCCTCGCCCGCGCCCGCCGCGCCCGCCTCGCCGCCCAGGCGCACGTAGTGCGCGGGGATGACCAGCGTGGGCATGACGTTGCGGTACACGCTGTCCTTGAGGTGGTCGATGGAGCCGCAGAAGATGAGCTGGCCCGGCTGGCTGAGCGACGGCGGCCGCGACAGCTGGTCCACCGACTGCGACAGCAGGAAGTCGGGGGTCTTGCTCTCGGCCGCGCCCTTGTGGCCCAGGTAGTGCTCGAAGGGCGGCGGCGGCGAGGGCGGCTCGTGCAGGAAGGCCGCGGCCCCCGCCGGGCCCCGCCGGTACTCCTCCAGGCCGGCCTCCAGCCCGCCGGGGCCGTCCACCGAGCGGGCACCCTTGAGCCCCGCGCCCTCGGGCCCGCGCGCGCCCGCTCCCTCGGCGCCGGGGCGGCTGGCTGAGCGCGGCTTGGCGCGGAAGAAGTCATCCCGCGAGGAGGCCAAGTCCCGGGAGCTGGAGAAGGCCGAGTGCAGGGGGCCCGGGGGCGGGGCCTCGGGGTCCCCCGGGGGCGCGGACTCCAGGGGGCCCCCGCAGATGAGGTGCAGCTGCGACATCGAGGTGGCCTGGTCGCGTTTGTTGCCGTCTGAGGGGCCGGAGAGCTGCAGTTTGCGGTGCTGCTGGCGCGGCTTCAGACAGCGCCTCCTGGGGAAGAGAAGAGCGGGGTGCTCAGGACCAGGCTAAGCGGCTGGACGATTGGGGGTGGATGTTGTGGGTAGAAACCTGGGGCTCAGGGGAGGGGCTGCGGAGCCCGATGGGCCCGGGTCCAGGAGCGCCCGGCTCAGGTCAGCTGCTCTGCTAAAGCGGGGTTCCAGAGGGACATCCAAGCCATGAGTAAGTTCTGCCTAGACCCCGAGGTACTGAGAGCAGGCTGCCACAACACACGCGTGCGCGCGGGCACTCACACACACACACACACACACACACACACACACACACACACCCCTCCGTCTGGCCTCCCTCCACCAGCCTGGCAGAGCCTGGCACGGGGCTGTGCAGCCTGTTCCCATCAGCTGGGAGAACCAGGTGCTGGGGCACAACCTGGGGTCCAGCTGGAACCAGGCATGGGGCAGCCTGGGGGTGGGGTTTGGCTGGGGGGTAACCTGGAGCCCAGTTCTGCTGGAACCAGGCATGGAGCAATCCTGTGGGTTTAGGGAGTGGCTGAGGGTGCCCCGGGCGGGCCTGAACTCTGTGCTGGAGACCAGGCATGGAGCAGCCTCAGTGGGTTGGAGTGCCCCGGAGTCCAGCCCTGTGCATGGAGCAGCCTCAGTGGGTGCCCTGGATACTAGCTCTCTGCATGGAGCAGCCTTGGTGGGTGTCCTGGACCCCAGCTCTGCGTGGTGGGGGGGGTCACCGGGCCTGGCACTCACCGGCAGTAGTAGATGAGCAGACACAGCAGAATGAGCACTAGCAGCGCCAGGGCTGCTAGGATGGTGAGCAGGAAGATGGTGTGGTAGGTGCCAATGTCCTGGATGCCCGATGTGATGGTGACCAGTCCTGTGCCAGACAAGGGGAGAGTGGCCCAGGTGGGAGTGACCTGACTTCCTGAGGTTCCCCACCTTCTGGTCTCCCAGTCTCCTCCTCTACTCACCAGTGGTGGGCGAGGCCATGGCCGCTGCCCAGTACCCCAGCTGGGGGGACACAAAGGTCCAGCAGAGCTGCCGGCCTTCTTTCCGGATGACTCCAGTGCCATTGCGCACCCACAGTCCTGAGGAGGGGGCTCGTCAGACTCCCAGCTTCCCTCCTGGGCCCCATTCTTCCCCACCCAGACCCACAGCACCTGCGACCCCCAGGAACTCACCACTCTTGGGGTCGAACCTCCAGGCAGGGATGCTGGTGCCTACGGTGAGGGCACGTGGCTCCGAGGGTATGGGCAGGGACAGGTGAATGGGACCTGAGAGTGGCACCTCTGTCCCGTTGCCGGTCAGCAGGTGGACACTCACGGCCGCCAGGGGCATCAGCTCCAGCCAGGAACCATTGCCTGTGGGCAGAGGACACACGAGCTGAGGGCTGGATCCCGGAGGGGTCACAGCCCACCCTGCCTGGTCCCCTGCATACCTGAGCCGGACGCCTCAGTGCCCAGGAAGGCGGGGAAGGCACGCATCTCCTGCTGGGTGCTGGCCGGCGTGAGCGAGGCCCAGAGTTGGCTGTAGGTGGAGCTGACAGGCAGGCGGGCTGCCCGGCGCTGGAACTGCACCCAGGGCTGGGAGCGGGAACCTGCGGGGAGAGAGGGCTGCCGTGGTCTGGCCGTGGGCAGGGTTGCTGGATCAGGTTGAAAAGTGAGTGGGTGAGGAGGGAAATGGGGAAACTTGGGGAGGCAGAGGGGGCGGCCATGGGGAGAGCTACATGATCTCAGAGCTGAGTGGGAAGGGTAGGGCCTGGCACTGAACTTTAGTTAGGTGCTATTCTGGGCTCAGCGCTCAGGGGTCTCACCCATCAGTGCACAGGCAACCACGGGGATCAAACCCGGGTATCCTGCGTGCAGAGCCTGAACCCCAGTCCTCTGGGCTATCTTCCTGGACCCCTGGACATCTTTTTCCCATATGCTTCCCCAAGCACCACCAGGACTGATTCCTGAGTATCGCTGGGTGTGACCCCCATAAAAGCAAAATAAGCAAATAAACAATTTTTAAAAAGTAAATAATTATTTGGTAGGGCACACCTGGCGGTGCTGACATTACCCCTGGCAGAGCTCCATGCTGGCTGTGCTGCAAGGCAAGCACCTTCATGGGGCTGGAGAGAGAGAATGGGACGAGGGCACTTGCCTTGCAATTTGGCTGATTCCATCCCTGGCACAGTATATGGTTCCCCTGAGCACCCCCACCGGGGTCACTTCTGAGCACAGAGTTAGGAATAGCCCCTGAGCACTGCCCACATTAATAAGTAAGTAAAGGCCCTCCCGTTGATCATCGATTTGCTCGAGCAGGCCCAGTAACGTCTCCATTGGAGACTTTGTTGTTACTGTGTCTGGCATATCGAATACTCTCGGTAGCTTGCCGGGCTCTCCGAGAGGGGCGGAGGAATCGAACTCGGGTTGGCCATGTTGGCTGCGTGCAAGGCAGACGCCCTACCCGCTGTGCTATCGCTCGAGCCCACATTAATAATAAAATTAAAAGTTCCAGAGCGAGCAGGGAGCCAGCTCCAGAGTGGGGCTCAGGCTTTGCATCTGCAAGGATCCAGGTTCCATTCCCAGCACCAGGTGACCCATCCTGAGCAGCCAGGTGTCACTCCAGAGGCCCCTGTGCCCTACTGGTGTCACCCAGGTGAACAGGTACACGTGCCATTGGGCGGGATAGTGCTGCAGCACCAGGCCCTAGCACCGAACCATAGGGTGTGGCTGGCTGTTACTGGAAATGACTCCTGGCCCCAGAGCACTGCTTGGGAGGGCCCCCATCCTCCAAAGTTAGTGAATTTAAAATATATTTACGGGGCCGGAGCAACTGACCCAGGTTCGATCCCCGGCATCCCATATGGTCCCCCAAGCACCACCAGGAGTAATTCCTGAGTGCAGAGCCAGGATTAAACCCTGAGCATCACCAGGTGTGACCCAAAAAAGCAAAAAAAAAAAAAAAAGTGATTTAAAATATATTTACATTTAATTGTATTTTTGTAAAAGGCCCTCCCGTTG